CAAAATAAAATAAATGATTGATTATTGTTAATTTTAATTTTAATCTATTTTTAAATGTTATTGTTAATATTAATTGGGGTTGGTTTTGGATGCTCTATCTAATTTTCTTTTTAACTTTTGTAGTATGTGTTTTTTTTAATGTTGTACGCCGCCCTGAGTCCTTTGGGAGAAGGGCGGCATATAAATCCAATAAACAAACAAACAAACAATTGCATGCACAAAAAGGGCTGGAAGAAGCACCTGCAAGACCCAGAAAGAGATGAGGCACTTGAGAATCAGAATCAGAGAGCGAGAGGGAGGGAAAGAGAAAGGGGAGAATGAGAAAGAGAACACAGGATCAAATTCCTCTGCTCTCTGCGTTCCCACCATGTGCTGAAGCGAACCATACGGGCAGAAGTCTCCCTCCCTGCTAAATGGCCCCGCAGAGCCCACTTGAAAACTCGGAGCTTGGCTCCGTTTAACCCTTGAGTCCCTCCCGCCTCCATCCCACTTGCCATGGCGCCCATGGAACACCACCTGCCCACCCCCCAAGAACAAGTGCAGGGGTGCCCGCCTGCCAACTTCTGCCCGCTTAATTGTCTTAACTGTACAAAAATTTCACGTTGCTTCTCTCCATTATTAGTTTCCATCTATTGTTTCTTGTCTTGCCCTCTGATGCTTTGGGGGAAAAATGACCCCCTCCTCTTTGTGGCAGCCTCTCAAATACTGGAATATTGCTTTCAGATTACTCCTAATCCTTCTTTTCAATAGAGTAGCCAAACCAAAATCCAAGGTCCTACTCATAGCTACTGTTTTTGAGCCAGGTTTTGACCATATGCTGACTTTGTAAACTGCTTAAGAGTGCTGTAAAGCAGTTTGGAGTGGTATATAAGTTTAAGTGGAATGGCTATTGCTATATAGTTTTTCCCGAGCATGGATCCTTTTATGACAAGTAAGACTATGATTCCGAGCAAAGCTCTTTCCACATTCCATGCATTTATAGGGCTTCTCTCCCGTGTGGATTTTGTTATGGGAATTAAGATCGTAGATCCGAGCATATGACTTTCCACAAATCATGCATTTATATGGTTTCTCCCCTGTGTGGATCTTTTTGTGGATACTAAGCCTACTGTTCAGAACAAAGGTCTTTCCACACTCCACGCATTTATATGGTTTCTCTTCTGTGTGGAGCTTCTTGTGGATAGTAAGGACACTCCTGCGAGTAAAGGTCTTTCCACACTGCATGCATTTATACGGCTTCTCCCCTGTGTGTTTCATCTCATGGGAAATAAAATGACCTCTTTGAGCAAAGGTCTTTCCACACTCCATGCATTTAAATGGTTTCTCTCCGGTGTGGATCATTTTATGGGAAGCAAGATAACCACTTTGCGCAAAGCTCTTTCCACATTCCATGCATTTATATGGTTTCTCTCCTGTGTGGAGCCTTTTGTGGACAGTAAGTCCACTGCTATGAGTAAAGGTTTTCCCACACTCCATGCATTTATACGGCTTTTCTCCTGTGTGGATCTTCTTGTGGATAGTAAGTGTAGTCCTCAGAGCAAAGGCCTTGCCACACTCCATACATTTATATGGTTTCTCTCCTGTATGGAGCTTTTGATGGATACTAAGTGAATTGTTATGAGTAAAGGTTTTCCCACACACCATGCATTTATATGATTTCTCTCCTGTGTGTATCATCTTATGGGAAGCAAGATAATGGCGTTGAGCAAAGGTCTTTCCACACTCCATGCATTTATATGGTTTCTCTCCTGTATGGAGCTTTTGATGGATACTAAGTGAATTGTTATGAGTAAAGGTTTTCCCACACACCATGCATTTATATGATTTCTCTCCTGTGTGTATCATCTTATGGGAAGCAAGATAATGGCGTTGAGCAAAGGTCTTTCCACACTCCATGCATTTATATGGTTTCTCTCCTGTGTGGAGCTTTCTGTGGACATTAAGTCCACTTTTATAACTAAAGGTTTTCCCACACACCATGCATTTATATGATTTCTCTCCTGTGTGTATCATCTTATGGGAAGCAAGATAATGGCGTTGAGCAAAGGTCTTTCCACACTCCATGCATTTATATGGTTTCTCTCCTGTGTGGAGCTTTCTGTGGACATTAAGTCCACTTTTATAACTAAAGCTTTTCCCACATTCCATACATTTATATGGTTTTTCTCCTGAGTGGACACTTTTATGGGAAATAAGATGACATCTTTGAGCAAAAGTCTTTCCACACTCCATGCATTTATATGGTTTCTCTCCTGTGTGGAGCTTT